GTAAGATGCTATAGAGTCACTACTTGTCGTGTGATATACTGCCTTCCCCATGCCCCCCCATATTATGTGTGCAAACCATAACACCCCTTAATCCCCTTCTCACTCACTCCCTAGCCACCCTTTCCATCCCCTTTCCCTTTAGTAACCCCTAGGCTCTTCTTGGAGTCTGTGAATCTGCTGCTGTTTTGTTCCTTCAGTTTTGCTTTGTTGTTATACTCCACAAATGAGGGAAATCATTTGGTGCTTGTCTTTCTCCTCCTGGCTTATTTCACTGAGCATAATGCCCTCTAGCTCCATCCATGTTGTTGCAAATGGTAGGATTTGTTTTCTTCTTATGGCTGAATAACATTCCATTGTGTATGTGTACCACCTCTTCTTTATCCATTCATCTATTATTATGGACACTTAAGTTTCTTCCCTGTCTTGGCTATTGTAAATAGTGCTGCAATAAACATGAGGGTGCATGTGTCTTTTTGAACCTGAGATCTTGTTTTCTTTGGGTAAATTCCTAGGAGTGGAATTACTGGGTCAAGTGGTATTTCTATTTTTAGTTTTTTGTTCAAACTCCATATTGCTTTCCACAATGACTGAACCAATTTACATTCCCACCACAGTGTAGAAGAGTTCCCCTTTCTCTGAATCCTCGCCAGCATTTGTTGTTCCCTGTCTTTTGGATGTTGGCCATCCTAACTGCTATGAAGTGATATCTCATTGTGGTTTTCGTTTGCATTTCCCTGATGATTAATGATGTGGAGCATCTTTTCATTTGCCTGTTGGCCATTTGAATTTCTTCAGAAGAAATTCTGTTCATATTTCTTTTCTTTTTGGGTCAGTTTTGGAAGGTTGTATTTTTCAAGAAAGTTGTCCATTTCTTCTACATTATCCAATTTGTTAGCATATAATTTTTCATAGTATTCTCTTATAACTCTTTGTAGTTCTGTGGTGTCTGTAGTGATTTTTCCTTTCTCATTTCTGATTTTATGTGTGTAGACTCTTTTTTTTTCTTGATAAGTCTGGCTGGGGGTTCATCTATTTTATTAATTTTCTCAAAGAACCAGCTCCTGCTTTCATTGATTCTTTCTATTGTTGTTTTCTTCTCACTTTTATTTATTTCTGCTCTGATCTATTGTGTCCCTCCTTCTACTGACTTTGGGCCTCATTTGTTCTTCTTTGTCTACTTTCACTAATTGTGAGTTTAGACTGTTAATATGGGATAGTTCTTTCACGAGGTAAGCATGTATTGCAATACACTTTCCTCTTAAAACAGCCTTCACTGCATCCCACAGATGTTGCGGTGTTGAATTGTTTTCATTTGTCTCCATATATGGCTTGATCTGTTTTGGTCATGGATCCATTGATTATTTAGGTGCATGTTGTTAAACCTCCATGTGTTTATGGACTTTTTTGCTTTCTTTGCATCATTTATTTCTAGTTCCATACCTTTGTAGTCTGAGAAGCAGGTTATCAAAATTTCAGTCTGAATTTTCTGAGACTCTTTTTGTAGCCTAGCATGTATTCTATTCTAAAAAATGCTCCATGTTCACTTGAGAAGAAGGTGTATCCTGCTGCTTTTGGGAAGTGCTCTGGAGATGTCTATTAGGTCCATTTGTTCTAGCATGTTGTTCAGTGCCTCTGTCTCCTCACTTATGTTCTGTCTGGTTGATCTGTCCTTTGCAGTGAGAGGTGTTTTGAAGTTTCCTGAAATGAATATGTTGCATTTTATTTCCCCCTTTAATTCCATTAGTATTTGTTTCATATATTTAGGTACTCATATATTGTGTACATAGATATTTGTAATGGTTATATTCCCTTGTTGGACTGATCCCTTTATCATTATGTAATGTCCTTCTTTGTCTCTTGTTACTTTCTTTGTCTTGAAGTTTAGTTTGTCTGATACAAGTATTGTAACTCCTCTTTTTTTCTCCCTATTAGTTGTACAAAATATCTTTTTCCATCCTTTCACTTTTAGTCTGTGTATGTCTTTGGGTTTGGAGTCTCTTGTAGATGAGTCTTGTTTATTATCTATTCTTAACTCTGTGTATTTTGATTGGTGCATTCAGTCAATTTACATTTAGGGTGATTATCAATAGATATATACTTATAGTCACTGTAGGATTTAGATTTGTGGTTACCAAAGGTTCAAGGGCAGCTTCTTTATGATCTAACAGTCTAACTTCCTTAACAAATGAAACCTAAAGAATTTTTCTCTCTCTTATTTTCTTCCTCCTCCACTCTTTATATGTCAGGTGTCATATTCTGCACTCTTTGTGTATCTCTTGACTGACTTTGTGGGTAGTTGATTTAACTTTGCATTTGCTTAGTAATTAATTGGTCTTCTTCCCTTACTGTGGTTTTATTTTCTTTGGTGTTGTTCTATTTAGCCTTAGGAGCACTTCCATCTATAGCAGTCCCTTTAAAATACACTGCAGAAATGCTTGTAGGAGGTAAATTCCCTCAACTTCTGCTCATCTGGAAATTGTTTAATTCCTGCTTTAAATTTAAATGATAATCTTTCCAGGTAGAATATTCTTGGGTTGAGGCCCTTCTGTTTCATTGCATTAAATATATCATGCCGCTCCCTTCTGGCCTGTAAGGTTTCTGCTGAGAAGTTTGATGGTAACCTGATGGGCTTTCCCTTGTACATGATCCTTTTTTGCTCTTTCACTGCTTTTAATACTCTCTTCCTGTCCTTGATCTTTGCCATTTTAATTATTATATGTCTTGGTGTTGTCTTCCTAGGGTCCCTTGTGTTAGGAGATCTGTGCACTTCCATGACCTGAGAGACTATTTCCTTCCCCAGATTGGGGAAGTTTTCAGCAATTATTTCCTCAAAAAGACTTTCTATCCCTTTTTCTCTCTTCTTCTTCTTCTGGTATCCCTGTAATGCAAATATTGTTCCATCTGTATTGGTCATACAGTTCTCTTATTATTCTTTCATTCCCAGAGATCTTTTTTTCCTCTCTGTGCCTCAGCTTGTTTTCCTGTTTTCTAATATCTATTTCATTTACTGTATCCTCTACTTCATCTAATCTGCTTTTAAATCTCTCCATTGTATATTTTATTTCACATACTGCATTTTTAAAAGTTTCTATCTCTTTCTTGAAGTCCTCCCTGATATCTTGAATATTTTTCTGTAGCTCCATGAACATGTTTATGACTTTTATTTTGAAATCTGTATCAAGATCGGTTTCACTTAGCCTTCTTTCTAGTATTTGAGGGATTCTGTACAAAATCCTTTTGCTGTTTCATAATTATAATGATTACTATGGAATAATAACTTTATATAGGTGGTACTCTCTAGTGCCTAGAAGCTGTACTCTCTGGAGCTGTCCAGCACCTGGAGCAATGAAGGGTGGAGGGATTACAGGCACATGGGTGCCAGCACCCACCAGGAGGGAAGAGCACTTTCCTGCTTCCCAGCTGCAGTTCCTGCCCCCCTGCCCAGTCCAGTAGGCTGAGCATACCAGAAGAGGCCTCTGCCATGTGCCCCTGTAGCTGCCATAAGCAGGGTTGCCCTCTGGCTGGCCTTGTGCAATGGTGGGGTCAGCAGGTGTGCTGACCAGTGCCTGCCAAGAGAAAGTTGCAGCAGGTTGTGTATTCCAGTTGGGGACCTCAGCACTGCATTGCCAGCAGGATGATGGAACATCTGAAGCTCCTGCAAGTTCCCAACCTGCTGGGCGGAGTGTGCCGGGATGATTTTGTCCACCTGTCCTTTCTCCTGAGCAGCAAGTTCTGTGTAATCCTTGCCACTTTAGCACCCTTCTCACTGTTGGGAAGCCTTTCAAAGTGCCCGCCTTTTTTTGTCCTGGAGTTGTGGGTTTGGGGTATCTGTTCTCCACAAGTGACTGTAATCTCAGTTGCTCTGAGAATTCAGCCTGTCTTTTCTTTCCAACCCCTCTAATCTCCAGAATGCCATGTAACGTGGGTTTGTGCTCCTGGAGCAGATCTCCAGAACTGGGTGTTTAGTACTCCTTGGCTTCTACTTCCTCCCCACTTTGTTTCTCTTCCTCCCACCTGTGAGCTGGGTTGGAGAGGACTTGGGTCCCATGGATCACAGCTTTGCTACTTTACCCTTTTCTGTGAGGTCTTCTCTTTTCCCCAGATGTAGGCAGTCTGTTGCAGTCTTTTGGTCACTCTTTCAGACTTAGTTGTATTTGCTATATTTTCATGTTATATGTGGTTTTGGGAAGAAGTTTCTGCCTCTCTTCTCACACCATCATTTTCCCTGCTCAGCTCTGCATATTTCTTATTCACCTGTGCTTGCATTGTTAATATTATCTTTGATCTATAATTTTCAAGAATAAGTGTTTAATTAGTCATACAAAAAGCATAGAAAAATAATATAATAATGCCCATGTACCCACCACTCACCTTAAACAATAAAACATTACATATAAAATGGAAGCCCTACAAAAGTCTTTTTTAGCCTCTTTCCCATTTTGTGGAGACTTACTTAGATACTACAAGATGCCCATAAATCCGCTTATCAGGGCGCACATAAAATGTAGTACATTCCAAGAAGCAACATAGCACCAAGGAATGATACCCCGCCCACCTTTCACAATGAGAACCTCTACTCTTCCTCCAAAGTAACTTTGCATAATGTATGCAACATATGACCACCTGCCTTGCAAACTGACAAGAGTGCCAGTATTGATTATATTTTACTATAGTAAAGTTTAATTTCTAATTTTTAGGTAATAAATATAAATTGGAATTCTGATTTTCTTCTGCAGAGCAGTGATTATTTTGCAAATTCTTCTGGTGTTCTAGCCTCACACTATGGAGGTCACTGCTCTAACCATAAACCCCTCAGAGATTTTAATTCATTATAGTTGTGCTGTTCACAGTACATATAAAGCTCAATAAATGTTTGCTGAAGGAATGGATGAAACTTATAGCTCTCTGTGATGTCTGTAGCTAACTTGAAACTTTGCAGTAGATATATATTATCTACTCAAATTGTATACATTTTGACATTGTGCTGGCCTTTGTTTAAGATTCTACTGTTAGAAGAAGAAAACAAATTATTGAAAATAAGCAGAGAAGTCTTTTAGAATGCAAAAGACAAAACCCTGGATCTATAGGAGAGAAGTACAGTGCACAAGTTCATGTAAGTACAGTATTAGTAAACATCCCTATTTAATAATGAAAAATGCTTGAAAAACAGAGTATTGTCAAAGAATTGTGCTCTTGCAATAAACTGTGGGCCACAATTACAAATACAAGTATATCCAAAGCCACTGTAAAGCAGCCTCGCAATTATTGTACTACACTTATTTTCTATATCCTAATTAGCCTTGTGGTCAGTTAACTAATGAAGATTTTAAACCAACTTTAAGAAGTTGGTTTATTTTTATTTTATTATTTATAGTCAACTCTGGAAAAAACAGATTATTTACAACAAACTTCTTTAAATATATATGAAAAAAAGAAAACGAATTACAACCATGGATAGAAGAAGCAACTATGCTAATCATAAAGACTAATTTAGTTCCATGTGTTTAAATATCCTCTTTGGATTTCAGCTTCCTAGAAAATATGGCAAAAAAGAATATAGGATGAGTTATATAGTTCTCAGGAGATACTGATAATGATGTTAATTTGAAGTAAACTATATTAAGAATCATTTCCATTGAGGATCTTCTGTAGGGGCTTTGAAGTTTATAATGGATAGATCCCTATAACAGTCAAAAACAAATGAATAAGGAATTTCGTATGGCTGTTTGAAATAGAGATCTTCAATAACGGTCAAAAGCATAATAATATGAACTTTGAAGTTAGTGGGGGTAATTCTGTGAGAGCTAAGTAAATCTAATCTAAATATGACATTTTCTAGAAACATCAATAACTGAATTTAAAATATTAAAATACCTAGATGGATGAGTGAATGGCATTTCATTTGGAGTTTTTACTTTAAATATCACTTCTGATCTTTTTAATGAAATTATAATAGAGTTCCTTATGAAGAACTTATATCCAGGTTATAGGTTGAATGTCCTATTATTCGTATGTTATAGAAATATTGATTTTTGTCTGGAGAAGATTATTAATATGGAGAACAGTCAATCATTAAATATTCTTATTAGCAAAATCAAAGTCATTTAGTTATACATTTATGTAAATAAAGCCAATTACCAATAAATTCTTGTTGCTTAATAGCACAGTACTTAATTACAAACATAACTTCCTGATTATAAATATAATAATGCCAATTAGTCCTGTCTTTTTAACTTCCATGTTCACATCAGACATCTCAAAATCTGTAAAGTGAACTAATTTTTTATCTGTATTTTTTTATTTTTAATTAATACATTTTAAACATTACAGTAATATGTAGTTGTTATACATATTATGTTAATATACATATTAATACAAAAAAATTAATTAAGTTTTAAGTGGCAGTTATTAATGCTGTCTCTAAATTCATCTTTATTTGTCTGGGTCTTATTCTGCTCTGCTATCTTGCTGCTTTGCATTCTTACAATCTTTAGAATCCACTTTTGTCCTTCTTTCCAGAAGCCTCACTTCAGTTTTCTCATACACATCTTTCACTCACACACCCTCTTATATATCTTACAAAGTCGTGTTACCTTTAGGTCAGTGTTGCTGAATCAAAATCAAGCTTTGAAGTCTAATTTTTTCATCCCTATTGTTTTGTTTTGATTTTTGGTTTTTGTTTTGTTTTAACTTGAGAGCCTAAGCAAGGGTTCAGTTACTATCGCAGTGGCCACCTTCACCTTGTATTAGGAAAGGTATTTTATCATACTAGATTTTTCCAGACCACTACTTCTATACGGAGAAAATTAAAAGAGATCAATGAAAGATTTTTTTTAAAAAAAGCACAGTTGCCATTTTTACCTGGGTCTCAGTCCAAGGTCTCTCACATCTTTAATGGAGATGAGGCAAGGCCATGAGTGCTACTGAAGGAGGGCTGTTTCAGAAACCTGCATCAATTGCTCCTCAGATCAGACCGAACCTAGGCTAGGTGAAGTGATAACCAGGCAATTTTATCTAAAAGAAACAGTTCTTAAAATGGAACAAAATGTGAGTAAGTGAAGCAAAGTAGACCCTTTCCAGGGAAGGAGAGAGGGTATCCCTCAGAGGGTGTAGAATGAGGGTGGTAATTGCCAGTGCTCTGGGATTTCCCGTTTCTGGGTTCTATGCAGCGCTGAAGCGGCTATTTCTATTTTAAGTTTAGTCATCTAAGATACTGACGTATCCTTAGCATTAGCAATAATCAGAAGCTTTTGGCTAGTAGTTGTGACTCACCCTTACAATGATAAATTAATTAGGTTATAAACTTCAGGTAATTTTTTTACCTTTCCTTTAGCTCCTTTGATAGCCACGCAACTTAATTCTCTCTTCCAAACATCCCAGACAACACTGCAGCCTGAAAACTTTCCAAAATTGACATAAAACATTTTTTTAAATATTCAGGTACCATAGAAAGACCTTATTCCAGGAATTCTTAACCTTGACTCCAAAAATATATACATTATAAAAGTTACATGAACAGTGATAGCTGAAAATATATACAGTATTATAAAAGTTTTTTACAAGTCAATGTACATATCATAGATTTTAAATATGGAATTATGTTCTGATTTAATATTCTAATTTTATAGAATTTTGGACAAAGTGTCCAGCTAAGTTCAAGTGAGCCAAAACAAACAAGTGGTACTTCTAATTTTGAAGAAGGTATGTTTTAGTTTAAACATTTTTGTCTGAGCTCTTCACAGTGATTTCATTTATATTTTTTTCACCCAAGTATTTACATATTATGTAACTGTTAAACCACCATTTGGAACATGAACTCTCCTTACCCTGCACATTCAGGTTTTTGCCAGTTCTTCTTTATTCTAAATAATACATATAGAACATCTTTCTATATCAAGTTTTTTCCTGGCTTTTTAATTATTTCCATAAGATAAATTATCAGAATTAACATTATAGTATTTTGCATATAACTGGTACCCAGTAAATATTTGTTGAATGAATGTGTAAAATGAATACTGGATCAAAGGAAATAAGATTGTTATGTCTTTTTACACATATTCCTGAAGTATTTTCCTGAAAAGTATTATCATTCAAAATTCTCCTAGGGTATATGCCAACTATACAGAATAGAAATGAGGTAGAATCATTTCTATTATTTGCTTATATGACAGGCAAAGAAATGGTATTTTTTGTTTTGATTTTGTAACATCTTTTAGTAACAGTATGCTTAGTTGCTTTTGTAAATATAAATATATATTTGTGGTGAATTATTCCTTTATATTTTTTTCTCTGTAGATATAGGAGTTTGGTATTTTCCTATCTACTTCTGCAAATTCTTTAAACATGAGGAGTTCTAATCCTTATATTAGTTGAAAAATTTTTTACTACTTTATTATTTACATTTTATTCTGCTTATTTTGTATTTTCACATATAGAAGTCTTACTTTTTATTTTTTAATTCAACAAATGACTTATTGAGAGCTAATTTCCTGCCTACAAATGCAAAGTAGTAGACTTACAAGGCTTCTGCTGTGAAATGAAACATACAGGCTTATATAGTGAAGGGCTGATCCCAAAGACAAAAAGAGATCAAGGAATAATTAATATAAAGTTTCTGTAGTTTCAGATAGTACTTCGGAGTTTTTGATGGCTGAAAGCCTAGTGAAAACTTTAGTGCCTGAGAATGAAATTCTAACTGTCATGAATAGCAGTCAGCTACAGAAATCAGATATGGCTTTAAATAAAACCCAGCCACTCAACATCTGTGCACTATCAATTGAAGAACAGAAGATCCTACAGTCCCTTAATCATCTCAATGAAAGGTTACAATGTAAGTATGGAAGAACACCTCTTGTAAAAAGTAAAAATGTTGTATTAAACAAATTTAATTTGAAGTTTAATTTAAAAATTAGAAATAAAAATACAAAATGTATTCAGATTATTACCTACCTCAATCAAGTATATAATGATTAAAAATACATTTGAATATACCATGCTATTCAAGTATATCACACTATGTCATTATGGCGATGCCAATTTCTTTGTCAGGCTTAACTATCTTTTAGGAATGTAAGGATACACTTCCATTTCAGCAATGTGACAGACTAGGTCACTATACTGGCCATACATCAAAAACAACCATAAATTCTGGAATAAGTACCTTAAAAATTTTAAGTATAGCAATAAGCTGTTAAGAATATAAGGAATTTTTAAGACCAGGAACTGTATGTAGATAAGAACCCAGAAAGATAAGGAGACTGCAACAACTAACTTTTTGTCTTGAGGGCATTTAACCCACAGAATGAAAATGAGCTTTGTTTTTCATAGCCTCACAGAAAAATAGAAAAAGAAGACAAAACTCAGGGACTCCTCAAGATGAGTAGTTTCATGGAGGATCCTCCCCAGTAAAATTGGGCCTCAAAAGAAGCTGCACCTTGCAGACAGACATTCACACAGAGACAAGAGAGAGAAATGAAAAAAGCTTGCACATCTTGAATGTCAGTACTGAACAGATGAGGGGTGAAGACATGTAAGCTTTTTTTCACCCCTTTCTCTGTCTCTCTGTGTGTATCTGTCCATGTAAGATGTAGCTCTTTCTCTAAGAGATTTTGTTAACAGCAGACTCTTATTAAGAAAATTCTGAGGAATGCACTGCAGAAGACTGAAATCTTGGACGTCTGAAAGTGTAAATTTGAACATTGTATAAAATAAATGTAATAAAGTAATGTGTGTTTCAAAGAGAAAAAGTTAGAATTAAAATATGTATCAAAAAATGCATAAGTTAAGAGTATTTATATGGTATTAAAGTGTACTAGGATTCTTAAATTGTTAAGGAATTGGGTAAAGATATAGGTTAAACTTTAGGTGTTGATAAATGAAGTATGCTTCTGGTAATTTTGAGGGTCACAAATAAAGGAGTAGAAATAAACAACTTCCAAACTTGTAGAGAAGAAAAGAGAAAAATAAACATAGAAAATATAGGAAAAAGAAATACTATACTATAAGATGGTATCTACAAATATAAATAAATATAAATGGATTAAATGTTACATTTAAAAGAGAGATTGTTAGATGAAACTTTATAATGCTGCTTTATATTACTGTCAAACAAAATTGACTATAAAGCTGAAAGTGTTAGTAGACATAAAAACATTACTTGATGATGAAGGAATAAAGTATTTTTAAATTAAGGTATGTACTTTTTTTAGACATTGATTTTAATTGAGGAGAAATATATAAATCATTTTCATTTTATATCTATCTATGAGCATAGCCTCAAAATACATAAAACGTTTTTTAACCATGGTAGGAAATTTTTCTTTTTTACATTGTCAGTAATTGATAGAACAAATAGACAACAAATCAAATAGATGTATATGAATCAATCATTAATAGACTTGATCAAAGGCACACATTCTTTGCAAGCATACATAGGAACATTTCTAAAACTGGACCTTATATTATACTATGAAACAATCCTGACACGTTTCAAAGATTGGAGTTATTCACATCCTCTGACCACAATGCAATTTAGATAAAAATAAATAATGAAAATATAACCATTAAAAAACACATTTCTAAATAAATCCTGATTCTAAAAATACACCATAATAAAAATTATAAAATATTTATACATGAACAATAATAAAAATATTTTATATATGTATATATTTATCAGGGTCTCTCAACCTTGGCACTACTAACATTTGGGAACAGATAATTCTTTGTTTTATTGGGGGGCTGTCTTGTGCATTGTAAGATGTTTAGCAGCTTCCCTGGCCTCCACCCACTAGATGCCGTAGTACCTCCCAGTCATGACAAGTATTTCCACGCATTGCCAAATGCCCCCTGGGTAACAAAAACTTACCTGTGGTTGAGAACCACTGAGTATATATATATATATGTGGCCCTTGAACAACACAAGGGTCAGAGGCGCCAACCCCTGCAGTCTAAAATCCATGTATAATGTTTGATTACCCAAAAATTTAACTACTAATAGCCTACTGTTGAGCAGAAGCCTTAGCAATAACAGCTGATTAACACATATTTTGTATGTTATATATACTATATGCTGAATCTTAGAGTAAGCAAAGGAAAGAAATGTTTTTTCAAATTGTCACAAATTTCCAAAAAAATTATATTCCAGTATATTTATTGAAAAAAGTTCACATACAGATGAACCCACACAGTTCACACCTATGTTGTTCAAGGTTCAACTGTATATTTGTATATACATGTATAATGCATACATATAAACATACATTTATGTATTGTGTGTGTGCTTATATTCCACTTCTTTGTAAAATGTAAAAAGCTGGACTGTGTCAATCCCACCCTAAGAATAAGAAAAAGCAGATAAATGACAAAAGCATATTTTTCTTGAACCCATTAGAGCTGAAGTCATAGCACAGCCAAGTAGCCTGGCATCCAAAGAAAGACAGGAACTTCCAAGGGGAGAAAGGACATGACCATTGGCTCACTGATGGCAGAGAATGGGAGAAAGAAATGGGTTCCCTAGAAGCTAATACTAAGAATTCAACTGAAATTTTCAACAAATTACTAAAAGATAAACGTAAACTACTGTGAAAATATAAAACCCCTGGGCACCACAGGCACGAAAAGAGTTCACACCCATTTACAGGTTCTTCTCCATGAACCTACACTATGGATTTATGACAAAAATAAGGGCAAAGCAGGAGGCTGTGGAAATCCTTCTTCAGCCATTGCTGTAGGAAATGCATGAAGCCCTATGCAGAACAGTCTCTCCTACAGAATAAAGGCTGTAAGATACTGGGATAGAGGCAGCAAACTTTTCAATCTGCCCCCAGGTCACAGGTGAAAGTTTACTGGGGGTAGGCAAAAGCAAAAAGCTTCCACTCCTGGGAGGAGCAAGAAACAGGCATGGACTTAGATCATTAGAGGTATTTTACTGTAGGAAGAAAGACACAAAATTCTTTTGCACAAAACTTGAGCAAAAGATACCAGGCAAAGTTGACTATGATGAGGAGGAACTGGATGGCTAAGAAGGCACAGAAGATATGCGTAAGGCTGAGTGAGCTTAGACTGTGACAGGAGGAAACGTCCCTATTCCCCCACCACAGGACAAGCAAGTACCAAGTCATAGGTAAGAGAAATCTGCAACTGGAAGAGAGACAAGGACACAGTGAAGGAAAAAACTAAACAACCCCATGAACCCTGCAGAAGCATAAAATAACACTAGAGGAATTTGAAAACAGTGATTTACTTAATGTAACCATTGCAACAACAAAACCCAAACCGAGCTCGATTCCTGAAAATTGATTGCACACACACACACACACCAATTATCTAGCAGAAGCAGCATGCCTGTTTCCAGCCACCAATACTATTTATCTCAGCACCTGTTATTCTAAACACAAGGCCAGTGTTCAGTAAAAAGTTATGAAACACACAAAAAATAAGAAAAACACTCACTGTCAAGGGATAAAATAATCAACAAACTGAGACACAGAGATAATGCAGATGCTGGAACTATCAGACAGGTAATTTTAAGTAACTATAATATGTTAGCAGTTATAGTAGAAGAGGTGGACAATGTGGGAAACATAGACAACATGCATAAAAAGATGGAAATTTCAGCAAAGAGACGGAAACCATAAGAAAGAGTCAAATACAAATGTGAGAAATAAAAGCATTGTAACAAATGAAAGATATTTGTATAGGTTCATCAGTACATTCAACACAACTGAGAAAAGAATCAATGAATTTAAAGATAGGTAATGGAAAATTTCCAAACTGTAACACCAAGAGAGAAAACAGAAAGGAGTGGGGATGGAAGGGCCAGAACAGAAGACCCAAGAGCTGTGGGACAATATCAACCAGTCTAACAAGCAGGTCATTATAATCCTAATGTGAGGAACTGCAACCTTCTTGTGCTGAGAGAAGGAGCCACTGATCTTGTAAGAAGTTGGATTTAGTCAAAGCCTCTCTCACATGGGGTGAAAACCTGTTCCTGGACCCCAGAAAGTAAAATAAAAGAGAAGCTATGAAAAACTTTGAGGGTCATTTTCACACAAGTTGTTTGTCACTCCATATTGGAAAAGTTGAATACCAAATAGAAATTAAATTTAATCCTATCAAATATGATACACAAAAATCAGTTCCAAGGTGAATATAAATGTGAAAGAAAATTATACATAAATCTTTTAGGAAACAATATTAAAAAATTTTTTTACTAACCTCTGATAAGGAAAGATTTCCTAGGTGGAGCAAAATGAGCATAATCTATAGAGGAGAAAAATTAATAAATTTGATTATAATTATAAACTTTATATCAAGACATCATTAAAAAAATAAGAAGACAGGCCACAAAGTGATATAAAATATTTATTATAATACATAGAAAAAGACTCATTCAAAATATATAAAGAATTCCTATAAGTCAATAAGAAAATAACTCAGTAGAGAAATAGTGGGGGCAGGGGGGAATGACTTGCAGGAAAGGAAAGGAAAATGACATTTAACATTGATAGATGTCCACTACATGAATAACAAATGCAAATTAAAACAATGAGATACAGTAATACAGGCATGCCTCATTTTATTGCAGTTGTTTTATTGCATTGCACAGATATTTGTGTTTTTTACAAATTGAAGGTTTGTGGCAACCCTGCATCAAGTAAGTTTATCTCAGCACCATTTTTACAACATGGTTTGCTCTCTTCATGTCTCTGTCACATTTTGGTAATTCTCTCAATATTTCAAACTTTTTCATTATTACTTGTTATGGTGATCTGTGATCAGCGATCTTTGATGTTACTATTGTAATTGTTTTGCAGTACCATGAACTGTACCCATATAAAAAGATGGTAAACTGAAGTATGGTAGTCACACACACACACACACACACACAAAGACTTTATCATGCATAGGAATAAGAACTTAAGCTCAAAAGAATCAAGAGGATAGATGTTTTAAAAAAAATTCTGTGAATATAAGGTTAACAGAATTATGTAGACAAAAGAAGTCTAGGTGCTTGATTGAAATTAATTAACATTTATATTTTTTTAATGGAGCCAAACTCATTTTATATGTGTACACCTCTTCAGTAAAAGAACTTGAAAACTTTAGTGCCTGAGAATGAAATTCTAACTGTCATGAATAGCAGTCAGCTACAGAAATCAGATATGGCTTTAAATAAAACCCAGCCACTCAACATCTGTGCACTATCAATTGAAGAACAGAAGATCCTACAGTCCCTTAATCATCTCAATGAAAGGTTACAATGTAAGTATGGAAGAACACCTCTTGTAAAAAGTAAAAATGTTGTATTAAACAAATTTAATTTGAAGTTTAATTTAAAAATTAGAAATAAAAATACAAAATGTATTCAGATTATTACCTACCTCAATCAAGTATATAATGATTAAAAATACATTTGAATATACCATGCTATTCAAGTATATCACACTATGTCATTATGGCGATGCCAATTTCTTTGTCAGGCTTAACTATCTTTTAGGAATGTAAGGATACACTTCCATTTCAGCAATGTGACAGACTAGGTCACTATACTGGCCATACATCAAAAACAACCATAAATTCTGGAATAAGTACCTTAAAAATTTTAAGTATAGCAATAAGCTGTTAAGAATATAAGGAATTTTTAAGACCAGGAACTGTATGTAGATAAGAACCCAGAAAGATAAGGAGACTGCAACAACTAACTTTTTGTCTTGAGGGCATTTAACCCACAGAATGAAAATGAGCTTTGTTTTTCATAGCCTCACAGAAAAATAGAAAAAGAAGACAAAACTCAGGGACTCCTCAAGATGAGTAGTTTCATGGAGGATCCTCCCCAGTAAAATTGGGCCTCAAAAGAAGCTGCACCTTGCAGACAGACATTCACACAGAGACAAGAGAGAGAAATGAAAAAAGCTTGCACATCTTGAATGTCAGTACTGAACAGATGAGGGGTGAAGACATGTAAGCTTTTTTTCACCCCTTTCTCTGTCTCTCTGTGTGTATCTGTCCATGTAAGATGTAGCTCTTTCTCTAAGAGATTTTGTTAACAGCAGACTCTTATTAAGAAAATTCTGAGGAATGCACTGCAGAAGACTGAAATCTTGGACGTCTGAAAGTGTAAATTTGAACATTGTATAAAATAAATGTAATAAAGTAATGTGTGTTTCAAAGAGAAAAAGTTAGAATTAAAATATGTATCAAAAAATGCATAAGTTAAGAGTATTTATATGGTATTAAAGTGTACTAGGATTCTTAAATTGTTAAGGAATTGGGTAAAGATATAGGTTAAACTTTAGGTGTTGATAAATGAAGTATGCTTCTGGTAATTTTGAGGGTCACAAATAAAGGAGTAGAAATAAACAACTTCCAAACTTGTAGAGAAGAAAAGAGAAAAATAAACATAGAAAATATAGGAAAAAGAAATACTATACTATAAGATGGTATCTACAAATATAAATAAATATAAATGGATTAAATGTTACATTTAAAAGAGAGATTGTTAGATGAAACTTTATAATGCTGCTTTATATTACTGTCAAACAAAATTGACTATAAAGCTGAAAGTGTTAGTAGACATAAAAACATTACTTGATGATGAAGGAATAAAGTATTTTTAAATTAAGGTATGTACTTTTTTTAGACATTGATTTTAATTGAGGAGAAATATATAAATCATTTTCATTTTATATCTATCTATGAGCATAGCCTCAAAATACATAAAACGTTTTTTAACCATGGTAGGAAATTTTTCTTTTTTACATTGTCAGTAATTGATAGAACAAATAGACAACAAATCAAATAGATGTATATGAATCAATCATTAATAGACTTGATCAAAGGCACACATTCTTTGCAAGCATACATAGGAACATTTCTAAAACTGGACCTTATATTATACTATGAAACAATCCTGACACGTTTCAAAGATTGGAGTTATTCACATCCTCTGACCACAATGCAATTTAGATAAAAATAAATAATGAAAATATAACCATTAAAAAACACATTTCTAAATAAATCCTGATTCTAAAAATACACCATAATAAAAATTATAAAATATTTATACATGAACAATAATAAAAATATTTTATATATGTATATATTTATCAGGGTCTCTCAACCTTGGCACTACTAACATTTGGGAACAGATAATTCTTTGTTTTATTGGGGGGCTGTCTTGTGCATTGTAAGATGTTTAGCAGCTTCCCTGGCCTCCACCCACTAGATGCCGTAGTACCTCCCAGTCATGACAAGTATTTCCACGCATTGCCAAATGCCCCCTGGGTAACAAAAACTTACCTGTGGTTGAGAACCACTGAGTATATATATATATATGTGGCCCTTGAACAACACAAGGGTCAGAGGCGCCAACCCCTGCAGTCTAAAATCCATGTATAATGTTTGATTACCCAAAAATTTAACTACTAATAGCCTACTGTTGAGCAGAAGCCTTAGCAATAACAGCTGATTAACACATATTTTGTATGTTATATATACTATATGCTGAATCTTAGAGTAAGCAAAGGAAAGAAATGTTTTTTCAAATTGTCACAAATTTCCAAAAAAATTATATTCCAGTATATTTATTGAAAAAAGTTCACATACAGATGAACCCACACAGTTCACACCTATGTTGTTCAAGGTTCAACTGTATATTTGTATATACATGTATAATGCATACATATAAACATACATTTATGTATTGTGTGTGTGCTTATATTCCACTTCTTTGTAAAATGTAAAAAGCTGGACTGTGTCAATCCCACCCTAAGAATAAGAAAAAGCAGATAAATGACAAAAGCATATTTTTCTTGAACCCATTAGAGCTGAAGTCATAGCACAGCCAAGTAGCCTGGCATCCAAAGAAAGACAGGAACTTCCAAGGGGAGAAAGGACATGACCATTGGCTCACTGATGGCAGAGAATGGGAGAAAGAAATGGGTTCCCTAGAAGCTAATACTAAGAATTCAACTGAAATTTTCAACAAATTACTAAAAGATAAACGTAAACTACTGTGAAAATATAAAACCCCTGGGCACCACAGGCACGAAAAGAGTTCACACCCATTTACAGGTTCTTCTCCATGAACCTACACTATGGATTTATGACAAAAATAAGGGCAAAGCAGGAGGCTGTGGAAATCCTTCTTCAGCCATTGCTGTAGGAAATGCATGAAGCCCTATGCAGAACAGTCTCTCCTACAGAATAAAGGCTGTAAGATACTGGGATAGAGGCAGCAAACTTTTCAATCTGCCCCCAGGTCACAGGTGAAAGTTTACTGGGGGTAGGCAAAAGCAAAAAGCTTCCACTCCTGGGAGGAGCAAGAAACAGGCATGGACTTAGATCATTAGAGGTATTTTACTGTAGGAAGAAAGACACAAAATTCTTTTGCACAAAACTTGAGCAAAAGATACCAGGCAAAGTTGACTATGATGAGGAGGAACTGGATGGCTAAGAAGGCACAGAAGATATGCGTAAGGCTGAGTGAGCTTAGACTGTGACAGGAGGAAACGTCCCTATTCCCCCACCACAGGACAAGCAAGTACCAAGTCATAGGTAAGAGAAATCTGCAACTGGAAGAGAGACAAGGACACAGTGAAGGAAAAAACTAAACAACCCCATGAACCCTGCAGAAGCATAAAATAACACTAGAGGAATTTGAAAACAGTGATTTACTTAATGTAACCATTGCAACAACAAAACCCAAACCGAACTCGATTCCTGAAAATTGATTGCACACACACACACACACCAATTATCTAGCAGAAGCAGCATGCCTGTTTCCAGCCACCAATACTATTTATCTCAGCACCTGTTATTCTAAACACAAGGCCAGTGTTCAGTAAAAAGTTATGAAACACACAAAAAATAAGAAAAACACTCACTGTCAAGGGATAAAATAATCAACAAACTGAGACACAGAGATAATGCAGATGCTGGAACTATCAGACAGGTAATTTTAAGTAACTATAATATGTTAGCAGTTATAGTAGAAGAGGTGGACAATGTGGGAAACATAGACAACATGCATAAAAAGATGGAAATTTCAGCAAAGAGACGGAAACCATAAGAAAGAGTCAAATACAAATGTGAGAAATAAAAGCATTGTAACAAATGAAAGATATTTGTATAGGTTCATCAGTACATTCAACACAACTGAGAAAAGAATCAATGAATTTAAAGATAGGTAATGGAAAATTTCCAAACTGTAACACCAAGAGAGAAAACAGAAAGGAGTGGGGATGGAAGGGCCAGAACAGAAGACCCAAGAGCTGTGGGACAATATCAACCAGTCTAACAAGCAGGTCATTATAATCCTAATGTGAGGAACTGCAACCTTCTTGTGCTGAGAGAAGGAGCCACTGATCTTGTAAGAAGTTGGATTTAGTCAAAGCCTCTCTCACATGGGGTGAAAACCTGTTCCTGGACCCCAGAAAGTAAAATAAAAGAGAAGCTATGAAAAACTTTGAGGGTCATTTTCACACAAGTTGTTTGTCACTCCATATTGGAAAAGTTGAATACCAAATAGAAATTAAATTTAATCCTATCAAATATGATACACAAAAATCAGTTCCAAGGTGAATATAAATGTGAAAGAAAATTATACATAAATCTTTTAGGAAACAATATTAAAAAATTTTTTTACTAACCTCTGATAAGGAAAGATTTCCTAGGTGGAGCAAAATGAGCATAATCTATAGAGGAGAAAAATTAATAAATTTGATTATAATTATAAACTTTATATCAAGACATCATTAAAAAAATAAGAAGACAGGCCACAAAGTGATATAAAATATTTATTATAATACATAGAAAAAGACTCATTCAAAATATATAAAGAATTCCTATAAGTCAATAAGAAAATAACTCAGTAGAGAAATAGTGGGGGCAGGGGGGAATGACTTGCAGGAAAGGAAAGGAAAATGACATTTAACATTGATAGATGTCCACTACATGAATAACAAATGCAAATTAAAACAATGAGATACAGTAATACAGGCATGCCTCATTTTATTGCAGTTGTTTTATTGCATTGCACAGATATTTGTGTTTTTTACAAATTGAAGGTTTGTGGCAACCCTGCATCAAGTAAGTTTATCTCAGCACCATTTTTACAACATGGTTTGCTCTCTTCATGTCTCTGTCACATTTTGGTAATTCTCTCAATATTTCAAACTTTTTCATTATTACTTGTTATGGTGATCTGTGATCAGCGATCTTTGATGTTACTATTGTAATTGTTTTGCAGTACCATGAACTGTACCCATATAAAAAGATGGTAAACTGAAGTATGGTAGTCACACACACACACACACACACACAAAGACTTTATCATGCATAGGAATAAGAACTTAAGCTCAAAAGAATCAAGAGGATAGATGTTTTAAAAAAAATTCTGTGAATATAAGGTTAACAGAATTATGTAGACAAAAGAAGTCTAGGTGCTTGATTGAAATTAATTAACATTTATATTTTTTTAATGGAGCCAAACTCATTTTATATGTGTACACCTCTTCAGTAAAAGAACTGAATGCAGATGGCTGGGGTAAGAAAAAAAGTACTCATTAAAATGTTGCTCATTAAAAATCAAAAAAAAAAAAAGATGGTGAACTTAATTGATAAATGTGTATGTTCTGCTTGCTGCATGGACTGGCTGTTCCCCTGACTCTCTCCCTCTCTTTAGATTTCCTTATTCTCTGAGATACAATAATATTGAAATTAGGCCAATGAATAAGCCTACTATGACCCATAAGTGTTCAAATAAAAGGAAGAGTTACACATCTCTCTCTTTATATCAAAAGTTAGAAATGACTAAGATTAGTGAGGAAGGCATGTCAAAAGCCAAGTAGGCCAAAAGCTAGGCCTCTTGCACCGAACAGCCAAGTTGTGAATGTAAAGGAAGGGTTCTTGAAGGGAATTAAAAGTGCTGCTCCAGTGAACACATGAATGCTAAGAAAGCAAAACAGCCTTACTGCTCATACAGAGAGGGTGTTAGTAGGCTGGACAGAAGATCAAACTGGATACAATATTCCCTTAAACCAAAGCCCAATCCGGAGCAAGGCCCTAACTCTCTTCAATTCTAGGAAGGCTGAGAGAGAGAATGAGGCTGCAGAAGAAAGTTGCAAGCTGGCAGAGGTTGGTTCATGAGGTTTAAAGAAAAAGTCATCCTTCTAACAGAAAAGTGCAAGCTGAAGCAACAAGTGCTGATGTGGAAGCTGCTGCAAGTTCTCTAGAATATCTGGTAAAGATAGTTAATGAAGGTGGCTTTGCTAAACAGATTTTGATTGTAAACAGAACAGCCTTCTTTTGGAAGAAGATGCTATCTAGAACTTTAATAGCGAGGGAACAGAAGTCAATGCCTGGCTTCAAAGCTTCAAAGGGCAGTCTGACTTGGTTGTTGGGGGCTAATGCAGCAGCCAGTGATTTTAAGGTGAAGCCAATGCTCATTTACCATTCTGAAAACCCTAGGGCTTTTCAAAATTATGCTAAATCTACTCTGCTTGTGCTCTATAAATGGAATGATAGAGCCTGGGTGTCAGTACATCTGTTTACAACATGGTTTACTGACTCTTTTAAGATCACTATTAAGACCTACTGCTCAGAAAAAAAATTGCCTTTCAAAATAGTATGTTCATTGACAATGCACCTGGTTACTCAAGAGCTCTGATGGAAATGTACAAGGGATGAATGTCGTTTTTGTGCCTGCTAACAACATCCATTCTGTAGGCCATGGATCAAGAAGTATTTTCAACATTTAATTATTATTCTTTAAGAAATACATTTCATAAGGCTGTAACTGCCATGATTCCTCTGGGGGACATGGGCAAAGTAAATTGAAGACCCTCTGGAAAGGATCCACTATTCTAGATGCCATTAGGAAGGGGTCAAAATATCAACATTAAACAGGAGATTGGAAGATGTTGATTCCAGCCCTCATGGATGATTCTGAGGGACTCAACACTTCAGTGGAGGAAGTAACTGCAGATGTGGAAATAGCAAGAGAACTAGAATTAGAAGTGGAACCTGAAGATGTAACTGAATTGCTGTGATCTCATGATGAAACTTAAACAGATGAGAAGTTGCTTCTTATAGAGGACAAAGAAAATCGTTTTTTGAGTTGGAATCTACTCCTGGTGAAGATGGTCTTAAGATTGTTGGAATGACAACAAAGGATTTAGACTATTACATAACCTAGCTGATAAAGCAGAGGCAGGGTTTGACAGGATTGACTCCAACTTTTGAAAGAAGTTCTGTGGGTAAAATGCTATCAAATGGCATCGCATGCTCAGAGAAATCGTTTGTGAAAGGAAGAGTCCGTTGATGTGGCAAACTTCATTGTTGTCTTATTTTAAGAAATTACCACAGCCACCCAACCTTCAGCAACCACCATCCTGATCAGTCAACATCATCAATATCGCGGCAAGAGCCTCCACCAGCAAAAAGATTGACTCACTGAAATCTCAGATGATGGTTAGCGTTTTTTAGCAATAAAGTATTTTTGAGGTGTGTACATTGTTTCATTTACATATAATGCTATTGCACATGTAATGACTACAATATAGTTTATACATAACTTTTATGTGCACTGGGAAACCAAAAATTTCTTTTCACTCATTATCACAATATTCACTTTATTGCTGTGGTCTGGTACCAAACATGCAATATCTCCAAGATCTGCCTGTATGCTCATCAGGACATAAGAGTAAAAACCTGGCAGTGCTGTGCTGGTAAAGATATGCAGTAACTGGAGCTCTCATATAATTCTGGTGGGAGTGTAAACTGGTGCAATCTCTTTGGGAAATGTTTGCCACCACCTAATAAATTGAACATGGACATACCCTACAACCCAGAGAAAAATTTCACTTCTACTGCATACCCTAGAGAAAATCCTGCAGAAGTGCATCAAGGACATGTATAAGTATATAGAGATCATTATTGTTTATAAAAGTTGAAAACATCTAAACATGGTATATTCATGTGTTGGAATACTATTCAGCAAGGAAAATAACAAACTACAGGTGCACACATCATCATGGATGTATCTAAATAATATATAATTTTGAGCAAAATAAGGCAAATTATGTAAGAATAAAGATAATACAATTCCATTTATGTGAAGTTCAGGATAGGAAAATTAAACTATTATTTGGGGGATGTATAAATATGTGTTAAAACCATAAAGAAACAAAGTGAATATAGTGGATACTGATGGGCAAAGTAAGGGAATGCAGTCCACGGGGCACTGTGGAGGTAGGGAGCGCCAAGAAGCTTCCAAAGTAGTGATAGTGCTCAAATTCCTTAACCTAGGGGATTAAACAGACATTAGGTTTATTATTAACTATAATATGCTTTTATGTTTTATATACTCTATGTGTTAATTTCAAAATTAAAGATTTTAAATTATATATTAATAAAAAGCGGGATGCTACAACCACAAAAAAGTAATACAGAACTAAAGCTGTAAGTTTAAGATATAAAATTATTCAGATAAAGTGAAAAACCTCAAGTCCTTTTTCTTTTGGAGACTTTTTTTTCTATTAGATACTTCCACATATTTAAAATGCTACACTACAAGATTCTGCCTGAAATCTTTTTTCTTTTCCCATATATTTGCTACTGTATGAACAAAAGCCTAAACACTGAAAAGGCAACAGTTGACCAACTTACTCAACTTTTTTGTATTTCAATAGCTAAATAAACATTTCCTCTTTCCTGAGATGTTCCAAGAATGAAATTCATTTCTTGTTTTTTTTCAAGAAGGAAGAAAAACTAAAAAGGAAAGAAAACCTAGCATTTGAATAAAGATTATTATAGAATAGTCAAAGTACTAGGAATTCCTTTTTTCAACATAAGTTTTATGTAATTGTTTTAATGAGATTACTTCTATTCCCTAACCTAATTAAAGCATAAAGACTGTTTCTGGGGACAATAGGGGGGAAAAGGTCTCTTAATTTGAAGTACTTTGACACATCAGAATTTTTTATTTGATTCTTTGGTCACTCTTCTCTATCAATATACAGAGCTAAATTATTTTTGTATCATGGTATAATTATATTCCAGATGTGCAAGAAACCATTTGCAAAAAACGATCCATGAAAAATACCTTACAAACAACATTTCTGGTAAGTACTTTAAGAAGCTGGGTTTTTTTCTCTTGTTTTAGGAAACTTCATGATTTTAAGTGTAAGAATCCTGTATTTAAGTTAATTTTTCCTAAGATTGGCTTTTAGGGAGTTTTTTTTCTCCCCAATCAACTCTAAATTATAAGATGTTTTGTTAGCATCAAACAAATATCCTTTCATTTTTAAAAGTCATAATGTGAAGATTTTTATATCCGGAGTACTTCCTTCATCAGTCATGGAAACAGCAACACAGGCATCAATGCACTACTCCTTAAATAGTTTCAGATATGTAGCCTAACTGGAAAGTTGTTTACATTGGTAATAATCCCATACTTGCCAATATCCCTTCCATGCCTTCAGCAATCAAAACTAGACACTACTATTTTAAATTTTTTTCTTTTTGCCTTGACACTGGATTCTGGTAAAGATACACATATAAATGAAAAACAGTCATTGCATTCAAGAATTTTCAGTCTACCAGGGAGAAAGACACACATGGATATTATATACAAACAACTGTGATACAAGGTAAGATAAGACTCTTAGGAAATCACAGAAGGAAGAAATCATATCTAGCTAGAGATGATCAGGAGACATTCAGGTCTATAGAAAAGGTATCCTCAAACTAAGTTTGTATTCTCACAACCCTCAATTTAGATGTTCAACAAAGACCTGTTTTATTAGAGAATAAACTGGATGCTTCTCTGCTGCTTTTCATCATGTGCCCTCAGTTCTGAAATCTTGATAGGGAAAAGTAAAATTAATAAGCAAGCATACTTCATTTCTTATTATTTGCTTTTATATAAAGTTATACATTTCTTACCCATTGTTTCAGATTTTTGCTCTGTGCTGTGTGTAGTAGTGAATAATAGAAGAAAGAGGCTGCCCCTGCCCTCATGGAGCTTATTTACCTCTGGATGTGCAGGTCTGAGGAGTGGCCTCTTCAGTGTGGTATTTTGATGTTGTGATTTTTAGACACAGCACTTTTGGCAACGGCCACTTTGCTGATTTTTTTTCATGGTTACTGCTTACATCCTAGTTTGGTTTTTTGCTCAGTTTTTCATCTCCACCAATTTATCAATTTAAGTAATTTTTTCCGTGATAATTTTTCTGGGTATGAATTTTAAATCATGATTTTCTGTCATTTGTGATGTTAGGATTTGTATTTCACTTCAGTAAGATAAGACCCGTAGTGACTGAAATCAGTCTTCTATACACTTCAACTCATCTTGAAAACAGTGTACTAACCACAAACAACCAACTGAGCCTGAATTGTAAACACTACTCAATAGGGAGAAAAAGTTTCCTAGTCAGCAAATTATCCTGTTGTGCATATTGATGCACTGTGTCATCATATTGTTAGAGCATCTGACTAATAAATTAAGAGCTGATGGTGTGGATTATGGACTACTGGTAAACTTGAAATCATTTTTATCTTATCTTTTTAATTCTTTATGACAGTTACTAATTATCTTTTTTCAGTCCCTTTACTTCCAAACATGTCTTCCTTAATTTAACATCACTAAATAATGGGTCAGAAACCTTCCTCTTTTTTTTTTTCAGGGAAAATGGCATAAAATCACAGAATTATACTACCCATTTAAACAAATGGCATCTAAACTACCCTGTCCCTCTCCCCTGTCAAAACAGCTTCTTTTCCATATTCTGCATGGGGATTTGAACATTTTGTTATTATTTGCCCTTTTTCCACTATTTTTATTTTATGTTACCCTTTGCTGGGACTCACCAATTGTTGGCATTTTATCATACTTGCTTTATCTGATGTATGATGACTAGATGGAAGAATAGAATAGAAACAATAGAGGTACATACACATACATTTTAATAACCTATAAATTAGACATGATAATACTGTCCCACTAAATGCTTCAGCATACATGTTCTCCTACATAACCACAATACCATCATCAACACCCAAGAAATTTAATATTGATACAGTATTATCTGGTACACACTCCATATTCAAAGTTCCCCAGATCTGAAAAAAAATGTCTTCTGTGGCTTCTATTTCCGTGATCCAGGACACAACACAGGATTATACATTGTATTTGGTTGTCATGTCTCTTTACTCTTTCAATCTTCCATATATGTTGACACTTTTGATGAGTCCAGGCCAGTTGTCTTATTGAATATACCATGTGTCTTGCCAATGGATTTCAGCTCCCAGCAAGTTCGCTATGGATTCAGTGTGACCAAAGAAATGACAGTAGAACGTTTCTTTGGGGTGAAAGGGTTTATTACCCAGCTTGTTCTCCTGGTGGTAGGTCAAGCACTAGCGTCTCTGCCTCAAAACTGGGCAGAGCTCTCTATACAGTGCAATAATAGCTTATTGCCTAAAGGTATGGAAGTGGTAGCCTAGCAACTAGCCAGTTACATCATCGGGTAATTTAAGTTAAGTGAGGATCCTGGCCATAGGAACCCCAACTTTCCCACACTCCACCCCTCCAGGATTCTCACCTTATAATCTAACACTTTCAATCTTCTGCAATGGTCCCTGTGTGAGAAAGCTGGAGCACTGTAACCAGATTCCACAGCAATAGAGGATAACAGCAACTTAGAGATAATAACAAAAATGAAGATACAATAAGATTTTGATACAGGTAACCAATATTATAATAATCCTCAAGCCAGAGTAAGTTCCCAATCCACAAAGACCTTAGGGGCAATAAGACACATATTTTAATGACACCAGCATGGTAAATCTTGTCCATCAGGTAGGATGCATGCAAGAGAGTGGTTCTGTGATAGGACTGTGGCAGGAAGGGGGTCCCTTCCAGGTCTAGTATAACAAACTTTTACTCCTTTCCCCATTGGGGTTACTGAAGGGTCTATATATAGTGCTACTGGAGGTGCATGCACTGGCCATAATGACAAAACAAAAGTACTACCTTCTGGCCTTTCAGGATATACTACTGTGACCTTTGGGGGCCACTCTGCTGTTATTCCAGGAATACCCAGGAGTCAGCTTCCAGGCCTTGTCCCCAAGGTGCCAGGAGAGCCAGCCATCGCTGGTCCATGTGTTGAAAGGTCCAAGGTCATGCCCACTCAATGGAGTCTCCAGGATTCAGTGCAGTTGGTGCTGACAGCAAGATGTTATTCTAGTGGCTAAAATTCAGCTTCAGGGATTCTTCTTTTGTTAGTACTTGCAGTTGTATAGGGGAGGCAGCCATATGTGTTAACATGTCTATAGGGCCCAGGGCTCCCTTTTGGCATTTCTTGTTCAAATGCCATAGCACGGTCCATAAGCAGACTCACCATCCCTGCAGACTATTGGTGTCTGACTTTAGTCAGAATTTTAACAAGCCATTGTGCCTCTCTATCATGCCTGCTGCAGTAGGATTGTATGGCACATGAAACTTCCATTTGATTCCCAGCTGTTGCACCCATTTTTGCAGTATATGTCTGGTAAAATGGGTGCCCTGATCACTCTCAATTACCTGTGGTTGGCCATAGGCAGCAAAGGGACACTCTAGGCCTCTTTTGGTCATCTGCTGGTCTGCACAATGGGTAGGAAAAGCAACCAGAAGTCCAGTAGCTGTGTCCACATACCGATATCCTTCTGACACAGGTAGAGGCCCAATATCGTCTGTCTGCCACCTGATGAGAGGTATAGGCCCCTTAGCTATCGTCCCATGTTGCTGTGGAACTCCATGTAAGTCCCTTTTGGAGCATATGACACACTCCTGCTGGGCTCTACTAACTTCTTCAAAGGTCAATGGCAAGCCCCACCAATGGGCTACAGCCCACATTGTCTTTTGCCCTGCATGCAACAAACGCTAATGTAACCCCAACTTCCCCCCACCATGACTGGATTTGTCTGGTTGTTTTCTCATTATTAAATTCAGGTCAACATTTATAATGGGTGCAAAGCTTCAAAGTTTGTTTTATAGCCACTTTGTTTTCTTGTTATCACCTAGGCTTCTTCTACCTGTAACTTTCTGTCAAGTCTTCTATTCAGCTGCTTGTAATTTATTGTGAGTCAAAAAAACTGATGTCCTAGCTTTTAGTTTAGTTTTGTTTTTAAAGCAACAATAAACAGGTACTTAGGGCCTCCCCTGGAAATAAAATATATGGACTTTAGATACATTTTGGTCTTTTAAAAGCTTTTAAAAATTGTTCCTGGATCTCCACTGCATTTCAAATATGTAAGAAAGGCAATATACAACCATCTTCCTATACTTACCATATTAACGCAAGAGACTACCCAAACTCTATTGCATTTACCAGGACAATTGTAATACAGACTAGTTCTAGTCAATAGGGTTTTTTCCATTTGGGAGTATTTATGGCTTTGAAGATGTTGCAAATAAGCTTTTTATTATTTTATTTGACCTATCAGCTCTAATATTTTCATATTCATATGAGTTTACAAGAATTTTTTTAAATTATAACATGTGTCATATATGTCTCACTTTATTATTTACATGTATCATATAGTTGATTCAGGAACTGCATTTCTTAGCCTAGCAACATTAATTATATAATAAATCTATCACATACCCCAGTACTGAAGACTCAGAAGCCATTTGTTTAAGATTTGAGAATTGATGTTTAATTTTCAGAAATCATATATCTCTGGAAAATTTTTGAACTGGGGACGCTTATATATTAATCTACTATCCCCAACCACACACATACATGGGTTTTTTGTTGTTGTTTTTGCTGTATTTACCCCATTTATTGCCCTTGGGGTTTCTTTTCCTCCATATGCTTGGTGGTGTTGATTTGGGTTTCTCCTCTCAGGCAGAGAAGTGAATTGATATATTCATTCATGCTAAGGCATTTAGCATGAATTTTAAAAGATGATTTATCATTTTCAAAAATCATTTTAAAATACTTAAAGCCATTTAAATTATTTAAAAACTGTCTTCAAAGAACAATACTGAATTTCTAATAGTGAGATTTCAGATGCATTTAACTCAAGTAAGAGGAATAATATTGAGAAAGTCTTCTCAGTATCTCTCATAGCATAGGAAATCAACTACCATTGCTTAGATCAAGTGCTATTCTAAAATTTCAGAAGAAAAAATTTCAACATACACCTTCCTGTATCCTTTCACTAAACATTCATAATCATCTAAATAGAAGTATCTACCCCCATAGAGTACCTAAGACGATTACGTGAAATGCCCGTTAGCACTTAGAACAGTGCCTGTAACATAATATATACTAAATACATGTTGAGTTGCATTATTATTATTGCTATTCACTATTATGACCATCTTATCTGTTTAAATTATCTCAAAAAATGCAATGTTCCTAAACTAACTTAAGTGAAATTTACTTGCAAAGCATAACTTTCCCACCTAAAAAGTAGGGATTATTCTAATAACCACGTGTAGCAATTTGTAGCGCCACCTGCCTTTCCTCTTACAAAATGAATCCTCCATTCCAGCCAAACATGTTTACTATATTGTCCATCAAATTTACAATACTGTATTCCACCTCCGTGTTTTTCTCATGCTTTGCTTATGTTCATGCCTAGTTCCAAACACCGTTATACTTTCACTCTTTTTTCCAAATCCAACCCATCTAAATTACCAAGTTAATGTCACTTCCCACAGCCTTCCATAACCAATCCTGCTGATGGCTCTCACCTTCCTCTGGACTTACTATTGTGGTATGCACTTATACTCCATAAGTATTTTCATTAGTTATCTTTCTACATGAATTATCTTCTTTAGAACTTTATTCTTGAGACTGTTTTTTACTTAATCTTCATAGAAACTAGCACATATTAAATACTTGAAAATATTGGTTGAGTCTTTATATTTTTATACATGGTCTTTGAATATATAAATGTTCTACATTTTTCAGACTGCAATAAAATTCATGACTTTAATATTCTGAAGCAATTCTTTTAATATTCTGAAGCAAGATTTTACATGCCATAAAAATACCACTATTTCTGGAGTTCTTCCAAAGGTTTTTAATGAATGTTAATATTGAATAATTAGTACTCTTCAGTGGCAACTGAACATTATTGAAATATAATTAGAAATAAGAAAGGAAACTCACACTTACTGTGTTCCTAAAAGTTGAAAAGTACTGTGCCAAATGGTTTCACACATATTCTCTTGATAATCTAAACTAGGGACATCAGATTATTCTCTCAAATCCCAGAACTGTTCAGTGGGAGAGCCAGGATTTAAACTTCTCTTACCTGTCCCCAAAATCTGTTCTACCTTTTTATAATTCCTATTTCAATTAATGACACCATCATCCATCAAATTTCCTGGACAGAAATTTGTGTCTCATCCAGTCTTCTTCTTCCATTCCCACAGTCAATAAATCATCCTAGTAACACTTAGCTGAAAGGGAATCTGAGACCCACCCACTCCTCTCCATTCCTGCTGATAGTCTTAGTTTAAGAATTCATCATGTCTCACCTGAAACATTTCAACAGCCTTCAGGTTTTCTCTTCCTGGTGCATCTTTCACACTATCACCGCGACACTAATCTTTTGAAAACACAAATGTGAACATATCACTCTCCTGTTTAAAATCCAACTTAAGTGGTTACTCAAGACTTAAAAGACAAAATTAAAGCTTCAGAGAACTTCACTCAAGACCTCTCCACCCTCATGTCCAGTTGCTCCCAAGTTATAACTTACACACTGTTGAGTAACAATAGGCAGGTCTCCTGGAACTCCTTGCACACTTCCAGGACCCACACTGCCCCCGCTGCCTCACAGGACTTGCTCTCCTAAATGCCTCTGCCCTACTTATTCTTTAGGACTTGGCTTCCGTGGTATCCCCTTTAGGAAACTTTATGTAACCCAAGTTTTATCCTGTCCAAAATTTAAAATTCCCTCTATTTTGAGTCATAGCAGCCTAATTTTTTTCTTTTTGTAGAAGCTATTTTATGGGTCTTGAACAGATATTGCCTGGGTTCTTATTATGTGTCAGGCACTCAAGGCTGGGACTAGCAAGAAGAGAACATATTCTGCCCTCAAGTAGCTTGCATTCTAATACAGACAACATGCAAACAATACAACATAATAGGGCTGTTGCAGGACATCCCTCAAGATACCTACCATGATTTTTCAGTGTAAAAACCATAAATTTTAGAAGCAGAATTTTCATTTTGTAATATTTTATCTATTTTTTAATAAAATTAATTCAATGAATTTTTATGTTATTAATTTATATATGTTGTTACATTGTTAAACCCAGTATATGTTGTTAAACCACTCCTAGAGTGTTACATGATCTCCCAGTGCTTGTAGAAAATAATATTATTCAATTTTGACCATTTGCACAGCAGATTATGATAAAAAAAAACACCTCTTAAGGGCATTTTATGAATAGCAGAATAAAGATTATTATTATAATTAGTATAATGCCTTATATAAAGTGGTACTTATTATGTTGAGATTGACATATATGTAACATTTCAGAATTTGAATTATGAGTTTGGTCTTATTAAAATCTATAATCTGTAAGGAGATCTACTTGTTAAAGTTTATGGCTTCTACAGTAAAATAATATTCTGAAATTATGTTACAGAATAGCCAACCAAGGACCTGTCTATATCCTGATGTTGGATCCAGATTGCAGAGAAAGTATTGATGAAGTATAACAGTAACTATCAAATGGAACCATTATTTTTGAGAATCTCTTGTAAAAATATATAATATATTTCTATATTTGTTAATGTTTTAAAATACTATAACCATAAAGGTAAATCATAATGTGGGTAATGGAGATATATGGGCTGGTTTACATTTATGCTACAATGTATACTTTATTTATTGATAAATACATTTTTAATGAATGGAAATAGTTCATTGTTTTTAATGAGTATGCTAATGGAAATAAATTCATTAGATTTAAAAATAAAGCAGGAATTTTTTAGTTATTCAAATTATGTGTTGGCTATAGTTGTGAAGCTTTGATCTTCTGAAATTCCTGATAGATTCTATTACATTTTTTTACAGTGTAAAAAGTTTATGGTTAATAAATAATATCCCACATAAACAGTTAAGCTGTTTGTTTAAAACTTTAGAAGATCTCTGTACTGTAGAGATGTTACCAAGGGGTCTTGTTCTTAATTCTGCATGTTTAGAAATTAAAGTTATCATTTTATCCAGGGTAACTGAAAATCCTGGCAAAGCTCAATAGGTAAATGGTAAATATAAAAAATAAACTGCAATCCCGACTGGATTACTTGAATTGCCTGATCAGTATGCTCTTTTATCAATAAGAATGCCTACTGGGGAAACCAGATTTCTAGAAGATTATTTTTTAAAGTATAGAAACCAAAAGCCAAAAGTTGTATGATCATAAAAAAAATTTTTTCATAGAATTATGATAGTCTCATACATACTTTATTTTCCCTCAACTATTTTTACTTCAGGCTCTCATCACCTCTCATCTGGACTATTTCAAGCTGAATTTTTTACCTCCTGCCCAATAAGTCTGCTAGAATGGCATTTCTAAAATGTGACTGAAATGTCAGAGTGAAATCTGTCACATCAATCTGATCTTAAAAAGTTTTCAGGGCTTCCCCTTGAACTGCTGGAGAAAATTTACATGGTATACGAGGCTCTTCATAAGTCCCCCTGCTCACTAGCGTCATCTTCACCACATTGCCCACCGCACCTCTTATTCCAGTATGTCAGACCCTTTAGAGTTCCCCAGATACCTGCTATTATTTCTCATCTCTCTGCCTGTTCATATACTGTACCCTTCGCTTGGAGTACTTTCCCTCTCACGTACTTGATCTGCCTGATAAACTTCTACCTATTCTTTACATTCTGCTCAGAATTCCAGGAAAAATCTTCTCCAATTTTTCCTAACAATCCTTTCTACTACCTCCTCTGTATAAATTGTATCCTTTGTACCCTGAACCATAATTATATATATATATATATATGTATTTATATATTTCTCTTCTTCTAGATGAAGAGCTTCTGGAAGGTAGATATTTCTGTGCCCTTAGGAATTAAATAGGGTACATAGTGGCAGATCAAAATAATGAATAAAGGAAAAAATATTCAGTTGTTCGATTTATCAAGCCCCTACTATCTAACTGCTGCTGCATGTGTTAGGGATACAGTAAAAGACAAAACTAGTTGTCATCATGGAATTTAAATTTTAGTGTGCAATACAGATTAAGTTTGATACATAAATGGATGGTTATAAAGTATACTGAATGAAAACCAGAGCATGGTAAGAGGACATAGAGTAATGGGAGTGCTATTTTTTAATTTTTTTTAGATTTTTTTTATTGAAGTACAGTTGACATACAGTATTATATTAGTTTCAGGTGTACAACATAGTGATTTGACATTTATATACATCATAAAATGTTCACTGTAGTTAAGTACAGTTACCACGTGTCATCATATCAACTTATTGCAATATTATTAGTTATATTCCCTATACGGTACTTTTATCCCTATGACTTATTTATTTTATAACTAGGAGTTCGTACCTCTCAGTCCCCTCACCTATTTATCTATTCATCTATCAGTGGATACTTAGGCTGCTTCCGTGTCTTGGCTATTGTAAATAGTGCTGCAGTAAACACAGGGGTGCCTATGTTTTCAAATTAGTGTTCTTGTTTTTCTTAGGTAAATACCCAGAAGTGGAATTACTGGATCATATAATATTCCTATTTTTAATTTTTTGAGGAACCTCCATACTGTTTTCTGTATGAATGGGAGAATATATTTACAAATGGCATATCCAATAAGAGGTTAATGCCCAAAATACATAAAGACTCATACAACTCAACACCGAAGAAAAACCAAATAATTCCATTAAAAAATGGGCATAAAAAATGGGCAGAGGACCTGAAAATATATTTTTCCAAAAAAGGCATACAGATGGCCAACAAACACATGAACAGAAGCTGTGTATTTCTACTCATCAGGCAAATGCAAATCAAAACCACAATGAGATATCACCTCACACCAGCCAGAACTGCTAGTATCAGAAACACAAGGAACAACAAGTACCGGGAGCACTGAGAGGCAGAGGTCAGAGGCTTCTGAGAAGGTGACAGCCGAACAAATATCTGCGTTAAGGAAGGGAGCTAACCTCGGTGGGAGAATGGCATTCTGCATGGAGGGAGCAAGTGCAGAGGACTTTATACAGGCGTATGCTTAACACGTTTAAGGAATAAAAAGGCAGTTGGCAAGAGAAAATTAGTGGGAAATGAGGTTGGAGAGGTAGCCAAAAATAGCATCATGTAGGGTTCATAGGCCTTAGTAAGGATTTTGGATTTCAGTCTAGAGTAATATGAATAAATCCTTTCCAGGGTTTGGAGTAAAGGAGGGACATGCTCCTTTTAAGAGAGTCGCTCAGGTGTCTGGAGAATACACTTAGAGGAGAAAAGGAGGTGGCAAGTGTTTAAGGAGGGGAACCAATTAAAGAGCTTTTGCAATAACCTAAGTGAGAAAAGTTTAAAATACATAGAGGACATATTTTGAACTGCTTATTTTATGAGAGATTGGATGTGAAATATATAGAAAAAAAAGAATCAAGAACAACTCTAATGTTTTTTGGCCCAAGTGGCTCTGTGAATGATGGAACCATTTGCCAGAATACCAGGCAAAATAACAGGTTTGGGTTGAAAATCAGTTTTTAGGTTTCATATGCCTATTAGCTATCCAAGTAGTGATACCCAATAAGCAGTTAAATATACAAGTCTGGAATTTAGGGGTGAGATCCTGGATGAATTTTTGATAAACTGAGAATTACTAGTGTATAGATGGTATTTACAGCCATGAAAATGGATGAAGTCACTTGAAGAGAGAGTATAGAGAAAGAAGAGATCTGAGGGGCCAAGAAAGAAATCGTTTCCAGAAGGAGGGAGGACTCAGCTGGGTCAGGAGATGCTAACCAGTTTGAGACTGAGTAAGCAAACTACAAGTGCCCATTGGATGTGACTCCCTGGAGGTCCCTGGTGGCTTTAACAAAAATTATTCCAGTGGAGTATTTGAGACAAAACACTAATTAGAATGGTTACAAAAAGGAGTAAAGAAAGATAATAATAGGATATTATTAGAAACTGTATGATGATATACTTAAAAGTTAAACAAACTAGAAGTAGTAAGCCAAATATGGTCCCTCAAGCTGTCCAGATCCTCCTCCTTGGAATTTATGAACATGTTACCTTGCATGGCAAAGGAACTTTGCAGATATAAGTAAAGGACCTTAAGATGAGCAGAGTCTCCCCATGGTACAGTGTAATCATAAGGGTCCTTGTAAGTGATAGGAAGGCAGGAAGGAGAGTCAGTGTCAGAGTCAGGAGAGATTTGAATATACTAAACTTCTGGCCTTGAAGATGGAAGATGGGGTCACAAGCCAAGGAATACAGGTGGTCTCTGGAAGTGGGAAAAGGCAAGGGAACAGATTCTCCCCAGAGCCTAAAGATGCATCACAATCCGATCAATGTCTTGATTTTAAACCACTGAAACCATTTCAGATTTCTGACCTCCATATACTTTAAGATAACAAATTTGTATTTTTTAAGCCACTAAGTTTGCAATGATTTTTAATTTAGGTGTAATTGGCATAACACTGTTAGTTACAATGTACAACATATGACTTGATATCTGTATACACTGCAAAATGATCACCACAGTAAGTCTAGTTCAAACATCTGTCATCATACCTTACAATACTTTTTTTCCTTTTTTTCTTGTTATGAGGACTTCTGAGATCTACTTTCCTAGCAACTTTCAAATATGCAATACAGTGTTATTAACTATAGTCACCATGCTGTATATTATATCTCCATGACTTACTTATTTTATAGCTGAAAGCTTGTATCTTTAGACCCCCTTCAACCATTTTGCCTACCCTCCAACCTCTTTGACCAACAAACAACAATCTGTTCTCTGTATCTATGAGCTTTGGGTTTTATTTGTTGTTTTGTTGTTTTCTAAATTCCACATATAAGAGATCACACAGTATTTGTCTTTGTCTTTGACTTACATCACCTAGCATACAACCCTTAAGGTCCATCCATGTTATTGCAAATGGCAAGATTTCATTCTTTTTTTGACTCAATAGTATTTCATTGTGTATATACAACTTATCTTTATCCATTCATCAACTGATGGACATTTAGGTTGTTTCCATATCTTGGCTATTATAAATAATGCTGCAGTGAACATGGGGATGCATATCTTCTTAAATTAGTGTTTTAGTTTTCTTTAGATAACAACCCAGAAGTGGAATTGCTGAATCATATGGCAGTTGTTTGTTATTGTTGTTGTAAATATTTACTTTTTAAATGTATTTTCTTATTGGAGTAGAGCTGATACACGATATTATATTGGTCTCAAGTATATAACACAGTGGTTCAACAGTTACATGCATTATTAAATCCTCACAACAAGTGCAGTTTCTTTCTGTCAACATAGAAAGATGTTACAGAACACTGGCTATATTCTCCATGCTGCATTTCCATCTCCATGACCAACTTTTATCACGTTTGAGATTTTTGTGCCCTTTTATCCCCACCCATCCCACCCACCCACTGCAACCCCTCCCCCATGGTAACCAGCAGTCACTTCTCAGTGTCTCTGAGTCTACTGCTGTTTTGTTCATTTTGTTTCATTTTTTTTTGTTTTAGATTCCACTAATAAGTGAGATATGATATTTCTCTTTCTGTGCACATGGCAGTTCCATTTTGAATCTTTTGAGGAACCCATACTGTTTTCAATAGTGGCTTCACCAATTTACCTTCCCACCAACAGTGCACAAAGGTTTTCTTTTCTCCATATCTTTGCCAATACTTGTTATTTCTTGTCTTTTTTATTATAGCCATATGAGAAGATACTGTGGTTTTTATTTGTATTTCTCTGTTGATTAGTAATGTTGAGAGTCTTTTCATATGCCTGGTGGATCTCTGTATGTCTTCAGAAATATGTCTATTCAGACTCTTGTGGTAATTTGTTAATAACAGCAACAGGAAAATAATACACCATTTTTATAAGATATTTATGGGCATTAGAATGTGAACATCTTTAGGGGACCATTATTTTGTCTACCATAATCCACCCTCTGTCCCCTGAAGGTATCCATCCTACATGACAAATACATTCACCTTATCCCAGGGTCCCAAAGCTCTCACCCCATACAGCACCAACTCATAGTCAAAACTCTCATCTATATCTCCCCAGATCAGGAGTCCCAA